GCGGTTCTGCGGCGCTGTAGCCCGGGGCCCTGCAGCCTCTGTGCACTGTCCACTAATAGCCTCCTGTAATTGAAGAAGCGGCTTTTAGAACTAATGCAAGCAAACAGGCTGGCGGAGTGGAGGGGGAGGGCTGCAGGTGCCTTCCTGTGACCCTTCCCATATCAGGAGAGATTCGGAGCATCTTCCCCCTTCGTTCCTGTGTTTATCTTCCTGTTTTGAGTGTTTTTCCAGGTTTTTTTTAAGGCCCATTGTTGTCTGACAGTCTCCGGAGCTTGCCGGTCATGGGCGGCTAGTCAGCAGGTGAGCTTTTGTAGGTGCGAACCAAATATGAGAATACAGGGAAATCCCTCAAATGTATGTGGGACTAAAAAAAAAAAAGATGATTTCTCTAAAATTACAAAATAACACTCAAAATAATCCTCAGCATTCTCCTTAGTGCAGTGTTTCTCAACCAGGGGGCTGGGGCCTCCACAAACTTCCAAGCGGGCCTCAAGATGACTTAAAATTATTTAAAATAAGTCAAAAGAAGCATGAAAATAAGATAAACCAAACTGCAAATCTAAACCTACAGCTACAAATATACATTTGTCTAGTTATGCCAAGCTTTAAAAAATGTATTTATTTTTTAAATGTAATACTGCGATATAGGGTACTATTCAATAGTTGAATAGTAAGTAAAATGTTTTAATGTTTTATTTGTTTATATGGTTATAAAATTAGTCGAAACTGTAATTTTAGGAAATTTTATTACAATTTAAAATAAATGTTTTTTAATATATGTTAAAATGTAATTAATTCCTGTGGTGCCAAAGCTGAGCAGTCATTACTCCAGTCTTCAGTGTCACATGATCCTTCAGAAATCATTTAAATATGCTGATTTGATGCCTAAACAATTCTTATTATTGAAAAGCAGCTCCTTAATATATTTTATAAACAGAAAGTTCTGCTGTCATTTTTACCAATATAATGATATTCAGATCCTTGCTGAATAAAAGTATTGGTTTATTAAATATAAAAATAATATTACTGATTGGTATAGAATTACAGAAGGGTTTTTAAAATATTTTGTTTATGTTTTGCTTAATTGTAATAAACACAATATTACAATGCAAAAAAAGGTCTAAAAATAGGTGTATTTTTTTTTCTTTTTCTTTTTACAGAAACATAATTTGTTATACTTTCATTTGCATTTGGAAAGAAACTTGACCCAAAGATGTTCTTGACGTTGTACTTTGAAGAAAAGCAGATGCCAAAATAAACAATACAATATTATCAGGGTTTTCTGACTTTCAAATATAACATATAGTTGACAATATTTCATCATGTGAACAAAGGCAACTTAAAGCTTGGAGCGAGTTCTATGATGAATTTGCCATCATAAAGTTAGACTAAAGCAACAGCATGAAAAGGTCCCACGTAACTCCTGTCTTAATAATTACAGACGGAGAGACAGAGAGATGAGTGGTGGGGGGTGCACAGGAAGAGAGCGGCAGTCTGGCCGTCATTAGATCTTCAATGCGTGTGTTCTCCTTCCTGCGACAGGTTGGGCCCCCTGTCAGTTGTTTTGCAAAGCACCTTGGGTGTTCCCTAAATTCAGCCCGTGGAAAGACATTACTGAGACATGTGGAGACAAATAGCACGACAGAGCGCAAATCTCGATGCGATTCAGTAGCGAAAACATCTCCAGGGCTATCAGCAGCCATTAGCGTAACGTTCTGGTGAATTACGGTGAAGATTACAGCGACGCCGGACTCCTCTGTCACTGTCACACAGCCAGTGACAAAACAGTTTGCGTTACCTGCTTAAGCACGGCAGACATTAGCACCTCCCTTCCAGGTACAGTAATCAAGAAGGTGACGGCACGCAATTAATGAGGTCCATCTGCAGCAGTGCCTATACATAATTAATGAGCTCATTATCCGCACACTTTGACTTTAGGCCCCTTTGCAAGATATACACACTATAGGAGTGCGGTTAAAACATAAAGTCTATGCGGTTGCAGTCACCATCAAAGAAATGTATAGTTTTATGAAAAAAAAGAAAAAAAAAAGACCCACACTAACCATGCTATGTGTGTTTATGAAATGCAAATCCTTTTTTTTTTTTCCTTTTTTTTCAGTTGCCGCTGAATGCTAGTATGACAATGTGTTAATAATGTAATAATGTTGATCACATGGCCTGGAAGAAAATAAACCATAATATGAAGTTAATTAAAGAGTAAAAAATCAGATTAGTTTTTATGATCGCCCCATGAAACGTGCAGAATTTGATCATGATAAGACCAAGCCACTTGCAGAATTATTTATTGTGGATTGTTTTATTGTTGTAGTGCTCGGAAGAAGAAACTTGCGTTAATGATGAATTACCCATGACTGTTTTACTGTCAGAACAGTTTCTTTATTCTATAAAGAAGAATGTGCTTCATATGAGGTGGGAATCAAGTTACTTAAATGAGCAAATTATTAGCTTGAATAATCTTATACCCAAAGGCTAGATGACAGATTGAATGGACACTGATTTTAGGTTAAAATGTATATGTATGTTTATTTTAGGTCAGAGATTTGGCGTAAAAACAGAGTATTTCAATCCACCTTATTTTGCAACACTGAAGTAAAGCTATTTTCTTTGAATGTGAGAGACTTCCCATGACTTTCACTGGCCGCTATAGGTAAATAGCTAGAAGAATAACAAAGTGCAGTAAACAGTAAAACTATTTGCACTACAAACCAGTGTGATTATGATAATAAATTAGAAATTTGTTATTTTATGAAAATAAAGCAACTGGAAACAAATGACACCGGAAACCTTGCATATTCAAGTAAAAGAAAAAGAAAAAAAAAGACTTGGAAGCTCTTATGTTAAAAAGGAGGTGGATTGTGACTATTTTTATGCAGTCCACTTACACTGTATCTGGTCTGAAAAATACATTTTTTAAAAGTGCATAAATTCCATGTAGTATCTTAATTAATATGAGCTCATAAAATCTGCATGCATAATAATTGTAGAGGCATTAGAAAAATAGTTTTAAATAAAGTACAGCATGTCACACTGCTGGCCTTTGAAATGCACCCAAATACTCGCATTACATAAAACAAACAGATCTTTCAAAAAGATGATAATAAATTATATTTATTGTAATGATGGTATTTAGTAAATATAATTTCCCCCCAGGGCTTTTGGAAACCCCGAGTTGAGGCCAAGACAAAGCATGTCAATCTTTGCAACATTGTAATATTCATTCGTAATGATCAGCACATGTATTGGCCAGAGGCATTCAAACAAGCTGCTAAAACTTTCTGAAGTTTCCAAGCATCCTGTGGCTCTATCTGTACCTGTAAATGTTTTCTATGCTCTCTCCACCCCCATTCTCTGCTAATGAAGGCCTCGTGGCCTCTTGTTATTAAAATCATGCCTCTTTCTGCGATATTAATTGGGTCCATAATAAGGAATGTGCCGGATTCATTATTTAATTGTGAGGGAACATTTGGAATACAGTTTCTGAAATCTATTTTTAATGAAAACTACTACATCCTGACCTAATCATATCAAGCATATTCTATCTAATTAAGGATGCAAAAAATCATTAGAGTTGCAAAATATTAGTTTCAGCTCTGTCTGGCTGCTCCCTCCCCTCCAACATATATTTTTTTTCCTACTGTGTTGATAAATAGTTAATGAGGGAAAAATGACAAAAATTTGCAAGTAGGCAAATTAGTTTAATAGGGATATGTCTTTGCTGAGTTGGGAAAGTGACCCTTTTTTGCATAGAGGAATTGCCACAATAATTATGAAATAATGGCCTAGCCCGTCTTATTTAAATGAAAAATCGTCAGCCTGAATAATGTAAAAATTGTGAAATGCAATAACCCTAAATTTTCATCATGCTGGCAAATGTGTTTAATGTGTTAGCATTTTATCAGTTCAATAACGGCAAATTAGGGCCAATATGAGAGAGGAGGTTATGACTGCAGTTCTGGGATGAAGACCGCTCTAGTTAAAAAAGATTTTGCAAGTGTGTTGGTTAAACGATGCTGTTTTCTTAATTACAATCTAAACAACTGTATCCAATTTGTAGCACCTTCATTACTAATATTGCCACAGCTGTAGCAGTACTTTTGGAATCTAAAACATAAACAGGGTCATTGGAAAGGGCTGGAAAAATAATGTGATTCGCAAAGGTCTACGATTTGAGCTAGGAATTACAGAATGCCTTTTTAATGACTTGTTTGACAGCCAATAACATTTCCTCATCAAGAACACTAAAAGAGGAGTTGCCACCCAAGTTGTGAACGTATGTGTGTGTGTGTGTGTGTGTGTGTTGTGTGCGTGTGTGCGTGTGTGTGTGTGTGTGTGTGTGTGTGTGTGTGTGTGTGTGTGTGTGTGTGTGTGTGTGTGTGTGTGTGTGTGTGTCCTCATGCGTCCCTCTGTTGATTGAGCGGTCTTTTTTCTTAATGAAATATTGCTGGAAATTGATTTCCGTGGATTAATCAAGCCGAATTCCTTTTTGGATAATTAGCCCCAACTAATTAGACTAGCTAAAAACCTCTGTGACAAATTTTTGGCATTCATAAATGTAACTAAAGAAAACAGAATGATTTGAAATAATAATGTTATATCCTTTGATTCCATTTTATGTTAATTATAATGCATATTAGAAAGCTCAGTGAACAGTTCAACGTGACAGTCCATTTCTGAAAACCATCACAAAGGCTTTCTTACTCATAAATGCTAGCGGGCATCTACAAGCCATCAGACAGACATAAATCTTTTGCAGAGGCAATCTGATGGATTAGTATCAACTACCATTTTGCCCATCTTCTTTAAAACAGCCATTAATCCAATTAAGCGCCTAAGACTTGAGTAGAGCTTTGCAACAGTCAAGCGTTGTGGCAATGCAGCCCATGGCAGCTGGATCGCCTTCTTGCAAGAAGATATTCTTTTTGAAGCCCAGTGTTCAGTGCAGGTTGTTACCACTATAAACAGAACTTCCACAGACTCACCTTGCGTCTCTCTCCATTGAAGCCTCTCCATTGCTCTGCCTTCTTTACAATGTAATTGAGCTCCTGGTTGGAGACCTCCATGTCATGTGGAATAAAGAATGCTCCCTCAGTGCTGTGGAGGCGTTGGTAGATATCTAACAGTCTCCCATCATTGTGAAGTCTGCATGAAAAAAAAGAAAAAAGTTAACGCTTAATTTTAAAATGGCAGTGTATATTGTTGCTTTTGAAATGCATAAGTTGAAATTTTGTAGAAAAAAAATCTACTTATTTTAAACCAATTTTATTATTTAACCATGAAATGAAAATCATGTTGTTGTTACAAAAAGAAATGTACAGACACCTTGTGTTGTATCCTAATCTGTCACGTGACATGAAAGAACCAATGGCATTCACTGTTAATGATGAACATCCAGCTGTTTTTAATTGAGCACAAGTGTGAATGATATTTGAGAGCCCCCAGTGAATATCAACTTAATTTCCGATCTGTTCCTCACAAAACGCTGTTGGAATATAGCAACTATGAAGGGGTTGGAATGGCATGTAAATGATTAACTGATACATCAATTAACTAATTCTTAGTTTGTTGCAAAGTTGCAGGACAGAGGTTCAGAGTTCAAACGGGTTTTATTCCACCTTGTCACATCCTGGTCATTTTTCTGTCAAGGCTGTTAACGTCTGACGAACAGCTCATCTGACCTTTCCAACACAGTGAAATTCTGATGAGCTTCAGCTCGGCAGAGAAGCAGGCCTGACCTGTCAATGTCAACCGGCAGAACAGAAGCGACTCTAGTCTACGGTAGAAGGTTTGACACATTTGTTAACTAATTCCGGTATTTTCTTCTCCCCTATATTATACTCAAGTAAACAAAGTCACAGAGAAAGTCAAAGAGAAGGTGCCATGAGTGACTTGGGGAGTATGCTAGATTCTACAAGGAGTGTAGGAGGCTTGTTTGTTTGTGTTTTTGTGGAAAGGTTGTCTCTTCAGATCATACATTGATCCTAATGTTCTTCCAAGAAGTTGAGCATATAGAGGCATCTGAATTTCTGTCTGGTGACAAAGAATTGAGTCATATGACTACTACAGTGTGGTTATTGATATCGAGTCTCCTCAGACATCTCACATACTCAGTGCATGAATCAACAGCCATAAAAAACACACAGCTTGGCTGCTCTTCAAAACGCCTCGACCCTCCGCCACAGAAAAGAGATTATTCTTGTTCAAAGGGTAATGAGCACTCCAGAAACATTTACCATGCAAAGTATAAAAGATGAAAAACAGTAGAGAAAAAAATATGATGTGAAATATAACTGAAACATATTGTGGAATATATCGATCCATCATTCTATCATGGGAAAGAAGCGTGTGATGACTGCTTTGCTATGGCATACATCGGACTTAAGCATGCATGAACATATGAAGATAACCCGTTCATTCATGATGAACAATTACCAGAGTACACATATTCTATTACATACTTAGTAACCATATGTGAACTAATATTCATCCAATCATATTTCCATTTTAAATTATGCCAGGGATTGATTGTAGAAAGTGCATGACCAGTGATGATGCTTTCAGTATTTGAAAAAGATACAAAACAATGGCTTAAGATGCCTAAGGTAAGCTGAACAATAGAAATAATAGTTTGCAGCAATATTTGGTTTCTGTGGAAGGTTTTGCTAACTGTGATCCTGGCATGGTGATAGGAGCCCCATGGTCATGGATCCTTCTCCTCAATTCCAGAACCAGAGATGCCTCCAACCTTGTCGTACCCTGAAAGATTATTCTAGTAAACTTTATGATCACTCTATAAGCATGTTCACTTGCTTGCAGAAAAAAAAGTCAGTAAGGATAATGGCATTTTCTGTGCTCTTCTAAGTCTTTCTGTTTCTGGAAGGCTCCTGTTTCTGAACGTCCCTCCAACACTCCATTGCCACTCTAGGTCCAAACTCCAGGCAAATTAAAGTGAGAAACATCCATTGCTATTCATCAAACATTTCTGGATGTGCTGGACATAGCTTGCAGTCCCGGTCTTAGCCACCTGCTCAAAATGTGAGTCTGGATCTGAGACAGCAACATGACTGCATCAAAAGGCAACAACAATCCAGAAGGAGGGACATCCAAAGAAAGTTCATAGAATCTGTATGAGGGTTGCTGTGCCTAGTTAATATGACCTGCTCACACCCAGCAATAACAGTTGTAAGTACATTTCAAGTGTACCTTTCAATGATAAATTAAGACATTCGAATAAATCTGAATGTCAGATTTACAAGCAGTCCATTGACATCTTGATAATGTACAGTTTGTTTCATCTAGCTAACAGTTAAAGAACTATTCCAAGGTCAGATCAAGCTATAAATGGGAAACCATGACATCCCATGAACCAGTGGTGCTCAGTCCTGCTCATGAAGATTTACCTTTAAAGCACAGAAGGTTTTAGTGTTTATTACAAATGAAAAAGTGTTTTAGATACTAAACTCTGCAGGAAGGAAGGAGCAGGATTGATAAATCCCACCATTAAACATTTGAAACTATCCATAAAATATTCCTGGCAAAATTTCAGAGCAAAGAAATTCATCGGGAATTAAACAAAGACCCCGGGAGAACTAGCACATTCTCGTATCAGTCTGCCTCTTAACCAATGATATCGTCAGCCTGAAAGCCTCTCAACCAACCAGATGTTGAGCAGGAGAACCATTCATTCACTGCTTTAAAACAGACACTTCAGTTGTGCCACTACTCTCCTCTTATTCCAGAATAACAGGCTCACTAATGGACCCACATCAAATGCCTGATTGTGTTTATATATTTTCCAACATATATAATGATAAAATGCAAAACATGCCTCTTTCCGGCTTTGCAGGGAGTGAATCAGGGCTTGCTAAAATGTAATTAAAAACGGATAACAGTTCATTCTATCTATACGTGTAGCCTCAGGCGTTATTTTAGAAATAGGTCAGGCACTGTGTCAGTGCTTCTCTCCACACAGTGAATAGAAGCAGATAACCCATAAAAACGTGCAAGCCTACTCACAATCAGACTGCTGGCCTACATTCACACAGCACAGCCACTCTTCAGCTTTAACCCATGTTACATGCGCCAACCCTGCCATCCTAGAGCCATGCACTGGCATGAGACATTACCCTTCTCTACGGCTGACACTTAATGTCGTCCATCCAGTGTGGGATATAAGCCCAGCCATTGAGAAACAAGATGAAAGCTCTTTCTCTGAGACCATTCTACAATGATTAGTGGAAAATCAGGTTGTTACACTTTTGGGTCCTTTGTTTTATTTCCAGACCTTAAAGCTACAGTGTGTGATTACAGACCTAAATATTCAAACATGAAAAGTGATCCATGAACAGTTGATGCCATATCTATATCTGACACGTGTATTTCTTGACTTCTTGGTCCAAATTTAGCCTTAACATCAAAGGATTTCCATTTGTGTTAATATGATTGTGTGCATCTTTCTCTTGCCCAATAACAGCAATTCAAACAATGAAAATCCAAAAGAATTCAAAATTGAGCCTATTAATTTTCTCAATGCATGTCTCTGGTTATATTATGCATGAGCCTTAGTGGACATTATTCCCAAAAAAAAAAATTCATGAACATTTCAAGAAGGCAGTAAAGCTAAAACACGACATTTTGCTGCCTGGCAATATAATCGGAAACCCCAATGTTCATTGTGTCTGTCATGCATATTAACAAACCCTGTGAAGGTGATTTGAGCTCATCTTCATGTCAGTTCTCTGATTATTCATTCTTTAATTTCATGAGAGTATTAAATCAAATTGCATTACATCAACACTTGGCTGTCAGATGATGATAATGAGCAGAAAGCTCTTGATAGAGCCTGTTTATGATTCTTATGTGCTGGTGGACAGGACTTCATTGGCTGGATGTCCCTAAGGGGTTCCCTGTCCAAAAATACACTGCCATAATCTCAGACTCTGAATAGTGTGGACTGCAGTGTTTTGACACTTTTGACACTTCCACCAGGAAGGTCACACACAAACTCACAAGTTGACAGCAAAGAACAACGGAAAAGAGAAGACTGCATTTTTTGTTCTTATTGTGAAATGTAGTTTCCAGAGATAGACAATTTATTGCTTTTTCATCTTCGCGTCTTTTCTCTCAACATCAGAATTTCCTCCACCCCACACACACACCATATACAAACATGAGATGATGCTGTTAACTAGATCAATAAATGTCAAGTCGATTATATCTATGTGTGTGTAAAATGTGTAAATGTGTGTATATGATAATATATCCCTCTGCTCAGTTGCACTGCTAACAGCCTTGTGTTTTCTCTCTCCCTCTTGTACAATTAAAAATGGCAAATGAAGAACACCTCGTCAAGGTCAGGTGAGTTCCCCTATACAATGCATGCCCTGTTCAGAGAAGAGGAACTTCTTGCGACCAATTCTTGAACTCGTGTTATCAGGCGTTTTTGTCTCTCCCACTTAACTAATTATTATACCGCCTATTTTGCATTCTAAATGTATGTGTCATTGCCTGCCTATGTTGTCTCTGGCTGTGGATTAATTGAATGTAAATTGGGGCTCATCCAGAATTACACTCCTAGAGAATATTATATTCCAAGACCAAAATGCAAGTGTTTAATTTCCGATACTACAATGACTAAAATCCTGCAGTGAGATTCAGAGCTAGTTTTGATTTCTACATTTGATTTGTAAATGTAAGCTACATTTGATTTCATTTTTGGACAATTTTCTGAAATGCCTTTGGAGGAAATGATTAGGAAAAATGATTGCAGAACCAAGGTTGCTGCAAAAGTGAGTGCTCACAGTTAAGCAAAGTGATTTGCAGTGGCATGAGGGCATGTGACAAATGAAACAAGACATTCAAGTTGATCCACTGGGACAAGTCCAGAACAACTTGAAAAACTTTTTTATTTTTGTGTTTGTTTGATTGCTTTTAAAGTACTGTACCTGAGGATGTAAACATAAAGAAAGGTGAAGGAGAAGATGCAGTGGACGCCATACAGGAAAAGTGTGATGATGATGCCTGCTGTACCCGACTGCTCCGTTCGAAAGAAATGCCAGTAAAGCTTGGCAGCATCTGCTAACGGTTCCTCTGCACTGTAGGATAGACGCTGACCAAACAAAATCAAAACATATTTTACAAATTCAAAACTGTTGCACAAATTTAAAAATGTAAATATATAACTCTCTGATGCTATTTGGTCATTTTGATTTGTCAAATTTGACCATTTTTTAAAAATTTTACCCACATTATCAGAATGGTAAGAAACGTGGCACTTGATATGTGAATAGACACAAAAAAAAAAAAAAAAAAAAAAAATGATTCGGAAAAGGTTAAATGGTCCAGAAAAAAAAAGTGTTCTCCTTGAACTAAATCTTACTGAAAGCTAATTTTATCAAGCTCAAATTTGTAAAACAACTTGTTTAGATTTATGGCCTTGATTTTCTATATAAAATATAAATTTCATATAAAAAGTAAAAATAGTATTTTTGTGCATTTTTTCAAAACAATAAATGAAAATTCTTAAACTTTTTTAAAGTTTACTTTTTAATTATGTTTTTTTTTTTTCCAGCAATAATCTGCCAAGTGTCAACTTTAAAAAGACCAAACTTAAGTCGGTGCTCCAAAGCATTCACGATTTATGACAGTTTAAATATAAATGTAAATATATAAATATAATTTAGTACCTTAAAATCCCCTAAAAATACAAAATATTAAATAAAAAAATATTATCGAGCTAAAATATAGTACATTCATTTCATTGAAATAATAATAATAATAAAACAGCACATTTTTGACCACCACATTAAGAGAACCAGAATAGAATAGTGAATAGGTGGGTTATTATTAATTAACCCAATCTATGGGTTCAATTGGTTGAACACATAATTTGTAAAGGGAGCACAATTCTGCCCTTTTTCAAGTTGGCCCATCTTAGGCACTAATTCGGGAAATCCAGGCAATGTTCTGTAACAGGCCTCACTGCTCTCCACATTTCTGTTGCACATTCACCAGGAAAGTTTTACGGGATTTCTGTACAATCTGTCCTGTTAAAACAAGTCCTAGTAGATGCCAAAGATGGTGGGGGTGGATCGGATGCAATACAAGTTATGGTCATTGAAGTTAAAATCATAATCAAGTAGGCTACTTTGCAAGTTTCTTTAATTGTATAATTATCAATACATTAACATAGGTGTTTTTCTTTAAATCATGAGAAATGATTATTAAAACATAATTAACTGTACTTTTAAGTAAAACTTTTAATTTGACTACAACAAAGTCCACTTTTTAAAAATGTGTTCTCATTAAAGTGCACTATCTTTAAGTAGGCCTACACTTTACACATTATATTATATTATCTGCAAGTACAGTATTTAAAAAAATACCAGATTTGAAGAGCAATTCTTTTCACAAGGAAAAAACTTAGCAATAAAAATGCTTGATAAAAAAAAAAAAAAAAAAACAAAAAAAAAAAAAAACAGTATATAATATTTCCATGAATTGAAATTAAGGGGTTAAGTGTTTGGAACAACCAATGTTTTTTAGTTATGCCACATCTTCATTGGTTCATCATCATTATATTATATATGCATAATAACACAATATATTCTAAGATCCATTTCAATATGAATGATGTTTACAATTCTAAGTTTAATTCTTAATATATCTAAACTTCTGAATGTACAGTGTATTGGCATATGTAAATGCCATTCATCATCCCAACCAAAAATACACCTGAATAATGTTCTCTCTCTACAGTCTGTCTATCTCATCCTTGTTCTTACATTCAGTTTTATTTGTAAAGTGACTTTGCTAAGATAATGTGAAACTTCTATATACAGTCCAGAAGTGTCCACGTTATTTTAAGTGACTTACCCCCAGGACGGCATCCACAGCAAAGACCGCCAGAGGGTCCAGCACTGTCCACACTGCCGCAGCCATGATAAACTTTGACAGGAAGGAGGGCGGTGAGCCAAACGCTAGCTGACAGCCCCATCTGATCAGGAGCAGCAGTAGCGTAGCTGCATTCAAGGTCAGGGGGCCTAGCAGCACCAGCAGAACCTCCTCCAGGGTAGATAGAAGCGAACCCTGATAGACCAGATCCACCGTGTGCGCACCCAACCCAAACCTGCCCCGAGAGACACAATGACGGGAAAATGATTTAGCAAGATTATCAAATAAAAAATAAATGAGAATTCTTCATATAATGGGTGTAAATTGTAAACTTCATCAATTCCAAGTTATGTGGTGTTGTTACGCTCTTAAAAAACAAAGGTTCCTAAAGGGGTATTTGCAGAGATGACAAATAAGACCATTTTGGGTTTCCCAAGAACCTTTCAGTGAACAGTTCTAAAAAAACAAAAAAACAAATGTACATGAATAATATTTTAAAAATCTAAATTACATTTTTTCAACTACGAAGTACTACGAAGTAGTAACTAGAAGCATAATGTAAAGTGAAACCAATTAACTGTTTATACATGCATAGCAATAATGAAAGCTGAAAGCAAAGGGGGACATAATCTAATTGAAAATCAAACAACAGCACAAAATAAGGTGAAATGTATAAGAACTTACACTAATATGTAGTGTTTTTGCACAAAGTTTCATGTCTTTCCTAATCTACCATCCTCTCTCTGCTCATTAATCCTCCTCTAATGTTACCTGGGAATCTCTTCCACTCTTCATTTCACCTATTCGGCCCATTTATGCTGCTCACGTTCACCACTCCAGCTGTTCTACTCTCAAGCATTTTCCAACACTTACTGTAGGTTATGTCTTTCTAATAAATGTTCATCTTTAAGATGATATTTTAGATTTATAGTCAAATTCAATTCAATTTAATTCAACTCAATTCGAGACTCGACCTGATTCAGTTTTGTTATATTATTCAGTCTTGAGATACAACTTGAATCCATTCCATTCAAGTTTCAGTCTGATTTGATCTGCATATTATGTATGTGATACAATTCCAGATTTGATTCTATTCCATTGTCAAATATGAAATGCACTCTTCATGTTTGTGTTAGGATGCTTTGCTGTAAATTACGTCAACAGATTTAGCCACCTAACACAACTCACTCCAGCGTTTACAACAGGACCTGTGTTGGTAATGAAGAGTTTTTCCACATGCTTGTGGTGCAATAAAATCCACAGAACACATGTTGTTGTGTAGACGGGTGGGACTCATTTGGCACTGCAAGGTTGTGTGCTGATTTTGAAGTGTGTTTGTGTGTGTAGGAGTGGAGGGGGGTGGTATTTGTGAGAATGCTGGGGGTAATGAAATGTGCGTGGGGTAGAGTGAGAGAGAGACGCTAATGACTGCGGGGCGTGCGAGCGTGTGTGTGTGTGTGTGTTGTCAGTTTGCAGCTGATCTCTGACCGCTACTGTGGTCACCAGCCCTGTAGAGAAACGCTCGCAGCGGACAAACGGACAGACATGTGGAACATGTCATGAGCCTATGACCCCGGCTCTGTGTTTTCCACTTGTTTCTCCCTCATCTGTCCTTCTTTACATTCCTCTCATCTTCTGTCAGTCGTTTTCCATTATTTAATGATCGGATTTGTTTGGCAACAACGCAACTTGGTGCATAAGAATTTTCACTGGGTGACTTCTGGATGATAAATTAAATTAACACCACATGCAAAACAGAACCACACTGCGGTATCACACAGGGTTTATGATGAAACGTTGTCCACACAATAGGAGAAGATAAATTCTTTCCAAATAATGGACACTTAAAAACCCGTACCACCGCATGTTATAATCAACTGACTTTCCCCTCATGAGGTTTTTAAAGTTTAGACAAGTCTTGTAAAAGATGCACGTGTATGAGTCTGTTTGCTTGCATATAAATGCACATGCACAACATATGACAACAGGGCATGAATCACCTGCATGATTTTTTTTTTTTTTTTTTGCGTGCGAGTGTGTTTCCAGTGAATTATTGTAAGCAGACATTTGTAAAGGTCAGCATATTCTCTCTTGGAATATTTCTGCATGTATTTGTGTGTTTGGAATAATGATGAGCTTGACACTGTGTTTGCGAATGATTGTTCTGTGTGTATGGTCACGCATGTCTCACCTGTTGACGGGGATGTGTTGAACCTGCAGAAAGAGCCACTGGCTGCAGTAATGCATGTACAGACGGGGAAACCACATTACAACGCAAAGAAAAATGCTCAGACTGATCTGAGACAGATGAGGACATGGACGGCAGGACAAATCGAGCAGTGACGGGAGGAGACGCACTGCCAGACGTGTTCTCTCGGCTGTCCCACAACACACAGGGCCAGACCTGTGCAAACTGTGCCTGTGAGATCTGGGGACGACACATATGATTTTATAAGCTGTGCACATATGAAGAGACTTTCTGGATAAATATGATTGAATAAAAATGAAAAACAAAAATCACTTCATTTTCATTTAACATGTCTGATTACAATTATTACAAATTTTGGTTCTGGGGACAAAATTAAGATCACATTATAAAACAGGCCATGTTAACATCTGTGGCTACCAAGTCTAAATATCATTAAAGCAAAAAAATTCTTAGTTGTGATTTTGACAATGTGAAAAGGATTTATAAAAGGAGAAAAAGTTATTAAATTCTTAGCTTTTAAATATTTAAATAGTGATGTTTTTTGAAAATCTAAAAATGCAAAACGTTTTCTGTTGTGTAGGATTAGGAGAAATAATATACCGTTTGTCCAGTATAAAAATCATTATGTCTAAGTAAAGTCCCCATAAAACATGAAAACCCAACATCATCTCATGCTTAACAAGGCTGCATTCATTTGATCAAAAATACAGTAAATTTTGTTGAAATATTATTACAATTTGAAATAACTGTTTTCTATTTTAATACATTTCAAATGTAATTTATCCCTGTGATGACAAATCTGAATTTTTAGAAAACATTACTCCTGTCTTCAGTATCACATGATCCTTCAGAAACCATTCTAAAATGTCAATTTGCTGCTCAAGAAATATTTCTTATTATTATCAATGTTGAAACCATGATGCAATAAAAAGTTCTAAAGAACAGCATTTATTTGACATTTTCTAACATTAGGCTATAAATGTCTTTACTGCCACATTTAATTTAATGTTTCCTTGCTGAATAAAAGTATTAATTTCTTTAAAAAAATATACTGACCCAAATCTGCACACACATACACACACACTTTCCACTATCGTAATCGAGTACGATACCTGTGTCTGCAACATTTAAGCAATCACAGCTGACTAAGACATGAAAGATAACATATACAGAACTAAAACATCCACACTACACCAAAACACCTTCTGTAAATCCACAACACCCTAGACAGAGTTAATGTGTCAGGGATGCTTCCATGTCAAGCCGCATTACGCCACAGCGGCAAATAAATTCTGACTTGCATCCCCTCTCTAATGAACGTATCAATGATATATGAACAGATGTATTTTTAGCCGCCTGCGCAGACTAGCTTTTCAAAAGAGAATGTCTAATGCAATGTGAAATCTGTTGTTGCCATAAAACTGATTTTTATTGCTATAGCTCCATTTCTTGAAATGTGTTTAAAAGAAAGTGTGAACAGAAAACAGTTTATAGCACTTGAAATGTGAAGGAGAAAAGAAGAAGGTAAAGTGTTGCATTCATCTGTGATGTTACATCCAGACTTTGTTCAATTACACACTATTGTTCACAGTCAGGGTAAGTGATTTGAACAAACCTCTAATTAAACTTTGGCTTGTAACTCATCCTGCAATGTTTGTGCTATATGGACGTACCAGTAAGTGATATCACAAATCATCTTGGTAAAATCTATCTATAATAATCTAATGTTTGTATGAATTACCAATGACTCAAAACTAATTGTTCCCACTCTTCTCTAATACAGATTGCAGGAAAACATCAGAATTATTACAAGTAGTGTGAAGTGTGGCGTAGGTGCAGGTCATGACGTGTGTTGGCAGGAAAGACGTGCAGTGAGGTGGGATTGATTTATGGCCTAATGCCTATGAGGCAAAGCACAGCAACCCTGAGAACTATCTGTGCCTTTAGTTACTGCTTAAAATCTGGAGTCAGTTAAAAGCTGGACGTCTTTTTTATTTGCAGAATTAAGTTATTTGCTTTCACTTTTTCTGTTTTGGACTAAAGGCATTGTTTTGTAAACGTGCCAAAGCCACTTTTTACCCCCTCCATCAGAGAACACACTGAGTCACACAAAGTGCTAAAGAGGGTCAAAAATGAAACTAGAGGTGATGGGTGAAAAAGAGTGAAAGCAGAACCTTTTTAAAAAAAGAAGTCAGAAACATTACGCTGACTTCTACAATAACCCGTTTTGGCCCACAAATAAGGCATCATCGCATACATGCTTCATAAATAAGCCAATCCCAAAATGCACTGCAATATTAATGTATATTATTAATGTCAAATACTGAACAAATATACAAGTTAATTAAAATGTACCATTTTATTCAATATCATATGTCCCTATTATGTTTTTTGTTTGTTTTTACAACATGCTATTGTAAAACCTTATTGGAACTTTGAGTCTAGCCTCTTGTCCGCTTCACACAAGGAGCTCTATTTGTGAATATAGTGTGGAGCCGGGAGGGGTGGAGACCCAGGTGGAGCTGAAGAGAAAAAGACCCAAGGTGACACCGTGGGTCTGGAGGGCCATGCCAGAGCCACATGCTTGCAGGGCTGAGGTGTAGACGATAGCTCGGCAGACTGGGGTGGAGCTGGTGGGAGTGAGGAAAACAGTGGAGCAGGAAGGAAGGAGGAGCCTGGTGGAGCCGAAGGGGTTGAGTGACGAGGCACAGCCAGAGGCCGGAAGTCCTTGGTGCAAATAGGGTGATGACTGACCAAGGCGAAGCCAGAGGGACGAGGGAGCTTGAGGGCTGACGAACAACGGTGGAGGCGAGGGAGAATGGAGCCAAGGTGGAGCCGATAGGTCAGATGGGTGAGGTGGAGTCCAGTGCTTGGAGGCTCAAGGTAAAGCCAGGGCATCGACACACCAGGGTAAAGCTGGTGACCAAGGAAGGCCAAAGGGGATCCGAGTAGCTGGACAGGGTCACTGAAGGAGGAGTCAGGGGCTGAAGAGAGCCAGCAGAGGCAGGGCCGAGGAACTGAATGGAGTTGTCAGTGGAAGAGGGAGTGGGAGGTTTGGTGGGACCAGTGATTTCAAAGGAGACTTGAGGCTGGGCGGGACCAGCGGCAATGAAGGAGACTTGAGGGTGGGACTAGGGATGCACCGATACCGATACCAGTATGGGTATCGGGCCCAATACTGAGGTTGTGTACTCGTTAAAATTATCCACTCACTGCTCTTGACTGGTTGAGCCCTGCTGGGAGCAGCTATAAATATGCACTGTGCTATTAAATTAAAGATACATAGAGCAATACAATGAACAGTGAAAGTAACAGTAGCTTCAACAATACTGTAACGGGCATAATTAGGCATGAAAATAACCGAAGGAGATATCTATTTGTTAAGCCAACTAATTTGATTCATATTCTTTTGGTTTCTCTGCCCATTTAAAAAAAAAATATTATTAAATCGGTACTCGGTATCAACAAGTACTAAAAATAAAAGTATCGTATCTGGAAAATCGTGGTCTCGGGTCATCCCTAGGACGGACTAACGGCAACAAAGGAGATAGGAGACTTGGTGGAGCCAGTGAGTCAATTTTATTATCCGTGCTCATAGGGAGAAAATCTACATCGGGGGCAGGGGCATGGGCAAGGCCAACTCCAAAACAGTCCAACTAAATAGACTTAATAGATGTAAGAACGGACAGGGAACTGAACTGAGCTGAACAGGGAGCATATATACACGGACAAAATTAACTAACAAGGGGCAGGTGGACACAATAGCTATAGTAACAAACAGGCACACAATAGGAAACTAAAGAAGACATACTGTAAAATAAACATAGGAACCAGGAAAATAGAAGTAAAGCAAAAACCAAAAAGAGACCAAAACAGAATATTACCATATTGCATGATTTGTAAACTAATTTTGACATTTGCAACACATAACCAGTGCCATATGTATGACATTTTTGACGTAATAAACTTGCTCAGTAGTTTACCTGATACAGCACTGCACTTTTACAGCTTTTGGTAATTCTATAGGTTATGTTTAGGGTAGTGTAGGCGGTAGGTTAATTTTAGTGCCACACTGGACATTTCATTTACAAACTGCTGTGATTCGTACAACAACCAATCTAATAAAATGTTCTTTCAGAGGAAACTGAACATGCTATTTAGTGTAGTTTGTGCTACAAACAATACAGTGTGTAAAAAAAATGTCAAATGTAACCCACAGGTACATTTTTTCATGACTGTTCAATAAATCTGCATCTGCGAAAAAAAAAGAAAAAAAAAATTTTGCTTATAGCACCTCTTGTGGACGTTTCATCTGATAAGTACAGCGAAAGCTACCTGAAACAATGCATTTCGGGTTTTGGAGAAATGTAGGCAGTCACGTATTTGAGCCTGCAGAACGTGTGCCTGTGTTACTACACCTATCTCAGCAGAATCATTCAACTGATTAACCTTCCACTGCATATTTGTTTATTTAATATTAATGTCAAATTCAGTACATTTTCATATAATATTTATTCATTATATTTTATATTATATTTGTATGTATTATTAATATTTTGTTAAACCCCTTTTCTAATATAAGCTTCAATCAATAAGCCTGCTCGCATGACATCACAGAGACCTTTGATTCATTTCATTTGACGCTTACTTAGAGATCCATCCTAAAAGTACTATGAGTCTGATGTTTCTGTGTTCTAATTAAAGCATTAATACAGAACATAGTGATCCAGCCCGAGAGAGACTATATTTTACCCCAGCTGAACTTAAAGTCAATGGAGTATGTAAGTGCTTTTGTCTGTATGTGTGATAGGTTGAAAATAGCTGTGCATGGTGATTGATAGCATAACATTAAGATGTGGTATAGACAAAGTGTATATATTAATAATCTTTTACACAAGGTTGAGTTTTACACAACTGATCCCAAGCAGATAACGTTCACTTTACAGTCAGCAGTGAGACACGCAGCTTTGATGTCAGTTGATCTAAAGCAATGCGCAAGTGAAGAGAGACAGCAGGGCTTTATTCTGAACGTTAACAGTTATCATAGAAAAGAGAACTACAGACATGTAAGAACATTCAGACTTCATGGCAGTATCTGTGGCTACACACTTTCATAATGAACTACATGTAACTTTGGAATTTTGTCACATCAGTCAGGGCCTAAGCAGCATCAGTTAGATTCACGGTAACTTGATGCTTTAGTGTGTCAACAACGGGAT